CCTTCAACTTGTTACTCAACATCTCGCCAGATATGGAGCAACACACGGACAGAGACATGGCAGGCGAGAAATGGTGTCCCTACGTCAATATAAAGCAGAGAAGGGAATGAGTAGCCCCAGAAGTTAGATTGAAGCTGAGAATCAAGCAAGACCTCAACCCAAAGAAGATTATGATTTGTATCTGGTGGTATTAAGGGGATATGGTGCACTGGGAAATGCTCGAGAACAACAAGACGGTCGACACACACACAAGGACCTCAGATAGAGGTCTTCATTCACCAGAAAAGTCTCAAAGAGGCCAAGTCATACTGCTTCACGACAACACCAGGTCTCACGTTGCACAAGTTGTCAAAGCCACCATCTCAAATGGAGGGTCTACAACATTCACCATACTCTCCGGACTTTGCGCCAACGGATCTATCACCTTTTCCGCTCAATGTCAAACCAAATGAGGGGCGTAACCTTCACCAATGATGAAGACTTTAAAAACTGACTCACCAACTACTTCGAATCCAGGCCGGGCGATTTTTGGTGAAACGACATCAACAAGTTGGTTGATATATGGGAACAGGTCGTAAACAACGACGGATAATACATAATTGATTAATTTGTTGCTTTAATTGTTATTATTTTCAATAAAACTTTGTAATAAAAAAACTCTACAAATTGATTCGCCATCCCAATACATCGTTTCGTTAAAAAATGTAACTTCCAAATTTAAATTACTCATATCATTTGTAATCACTTTTGTAAAAGTTAAAAGTTAAAAAATAAATAAAAAAGGACACCATATTTATCACCAAAATAATAGCTATCTTACCCAGTGATTATAAGCACTTTCCTAGTGCATGGGATTCGAGTTGTAGCCTTGATATCACTTTACCGACCGGCAGTCGATTAATCGACTTTTATTCCACAGAACTTACCGACCGGTAGCCGATTAATCGACTTTTTTATTTTCCGTTAGATTCGATTAGGTTAGACTGGCAAGTAGCAAGCAGCAAGCAACAAGCATTTCTTATTTTGTATTCTGATACTCGTTGCTTTACTCTGAAAGCACCCATATTTGTATACAGTTTATAAAAATTTAGCCTTTACGATGATTGAAAAGGATAGTGTTGGTGAGTTTTATCTCGATGATCTGTCAGATTGTATTCACTGCTCTTCAGCAAGTGGTACTGATGATGAAAGTGATAGCAGTAATGTAATGATTCGAAAGCGACGTTCTGTATTACCACTAATATACAGTGATTCAGAAGACGATGATATAAATAATAACGTTGAAGACAGCAGTGGGGTACATGGTCGACGTACGACAAGACTATAATTTTGGAACCTTTCGAAGGCAGCCCCGGCGTAAAAATTATGCCAAGTTCCCCTGAAAGTGTAATGAATATTGTAAATTTATTCATTGGAAATGACCTGATTGAGCACTTGATGAGGGAATCTAATAGATATCATTATCAAGTCATAGAAAAATATAGATTTATATTAAAAACGAAAAAATGGTCAGACATCATAGTATCTGAAATGAAGAAATTTTTGGGCCTAATAGTTCTAATGGGACAAGTAAAGAAGGACGTTCTCTACGACTATTGGTCCACGGATCCAACTATAGAAACGCCATTCTTCTCGAAAGTAATGAGCAGAAACAGATTTTTACAAATAATGCAAAGCTGACATTTTTTTTTGACAACGACAATATTTCTCTCAATTCGCATAGGCTTGCGAAAGTCCAGCCTGTCGTCGATTATTTAAAGCAAAAATTTAACGATGTATATAAACCAGATCAATAATTGTCTCTGGATGAGTGTATAATTCCGTGGAGAGGTAGACGGAATACAGGTCAGAGTGCTGTCTGAAGCTCGTACAGGATACGTATCTAACTTTTGTGTGTATGCTGCTGATGAAAAAAAAATTAGAAGAGACTGTATTATCCGTCATTGAACCGTATAAGAACATGTGGCACCATATATATGAAGACGATTATTACAATAGTGTCAACATGGCTAAAATTCTTTTAAAAAATAAAGTGCGAGTGTGCGGGACAATTCGAAGGAACAGAGGTCTTCCTCAACCACTTCAAACGGCCAAACTTTCAAGAGGCCAGCATGAATTTCGTAGAGATGACCATATTCTATTACAAGTATGGAATAAAATAGCAAAAGGAACGTAAATATGATCTCGACAATACATTCTGCACAAATGGCGGAATCTGGAAGCAGAAGTAGGACATCAGATTGCCCCGTACAGAAGACTATTTCAATAATAGATTACAATAAATATATGAAGGGCATAGATCGCGCAGATCAATATCTGTCCTATTACTCCATTTTTAAAAAGATAAAAAAATGGACGAAACGCGCGTGTCGTAATGTTCTTTATCAACTGTGCACTTTTTAATTCCTTTAAAGTATATACAGCTCTAAACGGAAATTAGATTACATATAAAAATTTTCTACACAAAGCGGCACTTTCATGGATAGAAGATTGCAAAGCTAAAGAACAAGATAAAGATCTACCTAATTCCGAATCCACAAGAATCACATCCCGATTTGATCAACCCGGAAGACTGGAAAATTTCGGAAAGCATAAACTGGTAAATATAGTGACCAGCGGTCAATGTGAAAAACCCCTAAGACAATGCAGAGTTTGTTCAATTTAAAAAAAAAAAAAAAACAGAACAGGTTTCACCTGTACATTTTGCAACGTTCCACTACACAAAGGTGACTGTTTCAAGCGGTATCATACTTTTAAAAAATATTAAACAACTTCTTTTTCGAAAAATATTGTTGATTATGGTATATTGTATATGTTGTATGATTATGGTATATTTTATGTAAATATTAAACTGAAAACGATTGTAATAGATAAAATAAATATTGTTTAGTACTAATATCATTAAAATAAAAGATTTTATTAAATTTGGTTATCCTATAATAACACAAAGAGTACAATTTTACCAGAGCATAAGAAAAGCGCATATATTCCCGCGCGACAGTCTAGGCCGAAACCGAGCCGGTGTCTCGGACGATATGCGGCTGAGTGGCCGGTGAGAAGGGCATGGGATTCTCGAACCGCTACCGGTCGGTAAAGTGATATTAACCAATTTAATATCAAGGCTACAACTCGAAGAGAGAACCGATTAAATTCAGAGGACGTTTTGCAAAAATCGGCAATGGTAAAAAAATATAACAACTGTAAAAAAAACTAATCATTTGTACATAGCTATTTCAACTTATCCCGGTATTGCAACGAGCGTAATGATAATAAGCAGGAGGTTAAAAGATCCAATAGAAATTTATTGGGAAGAAGCTAAAAGTGTAGTGCGTTATTTAAAATTAACAAAGAAATTTAAGTATAAAATAGGAAACAACACTGAAGGAACAGAACTAATTAGATGTGCTGATGCCGACTGGACAGAAGAAAGAATGGACCGAAAATCCAATAGTGGATATACAGGGTGTCCTAAAATTATTGTATTTCTGGGAACTGAGGGATTCATTAGATCATTTGAAATAACTTTTTCCATAGCGAAAATGCGATCCGCGGCTTTGTTTACGAGTTATTAATGAAAAACAGTGACCAATGAAAGGCGGGATCAGTTGGCGCGTGGCGGCCGAGCCAATGAACGGAACTGGACTCCGTGCGCTCGTTGGCTCGGCCGCCTTGCGCTAGCCGAGCTCGCTTCTCATTGATCAGAGTTTTTCGTTAATAACTCGTTAATGATGCCTGGGAGTACATTTTTGTAAAAGATTAAGTTACTTCAAATGATCGCAGGAACCCCACATATTCCGGAAATTCCATAATTTTGGGACACCTTGTATATTTAAATGCCTAGGAAGCACCATCAGCTGAGCATGTCGAAAGCAAAGGTGCGTTTCACTGTCCTCAACTGCGGCGGAGTACGTCAGTCTACATGAATCCTACCAAGAGGGCATGTGGTTCAAAAAATTGTTACAGGTCTTCAGAGAAACTATAAAGGAACGCATTAAAATGCATGAAGACAATCAAGGCTGTATAAAATTATTAAGAAATCAAATTTTTTAGCAAAGAGAACCAGATACGTAGATACTAAAAATTATTTTATCAGAGATCTCAAGGAATGTAATATTGTCGATGTAATTTACTGCAGTAGAAATGATATAATTGCAAATTTGATGACGAAACCGCACCGGTCAACCAGAATAAAGAAACTGGCAAAATGCTGCAAATACAGGATAACAATGTTGAGGAGGAGTGTTAAACAGTGATATTTTTCTACACCGTATTTATTACTACGATCAATCTCTATTACACTGCAATCCTAACCATGATAAATGAAACTACTGCTACAACTACTACTATTACTATTATAATCTTCTTCAGAAAAAGATATTAAAGCATACGTAAGTTTCGATACAAATTATTGTTACTTGATACAAATTTATTTATAATGACAATGGTAATATTACCATTGTAAAAAATAATTGTAAGATCCCATCAGGAGAGAGAACATTTTCATTTTTCAGCAAAAGAAGCTGTTCTTCTAAACACTTTTTACAGTATTGTAAATAGCTTCGACCGCCTAGTATGTGTCACGAATGTTTCATTAAGTGAACCATTTCGAAATTAAATTTGGACTCGATATCGTATCTCAGCACCATATGATATCAATAGTTAAACTGAAATAATGTGGACCATAGCAATACGCAAAGAATTAATTAATTTATTAAAATCAAGCTAAATATTTAAATTCATACTACAATTTTAATTAATTCCCTCCAATCAACAAAATTTATATTTTAAAAATCATCTAAAAAAATTATTCCCTCAAATTTTTGAACATTTCCTATTTTTAATAAATAGTTTTAATCAATTTCAATAAATAAATAAATTATCTTACTATTTTTAAACATTTATTATATTATTTAATATGCGTTTACTGCAACTAAACTTATTACTATATATATACATATATACATATATAAATGGGAGCTGGTACAGAAGAAATATAGAAATATAAAAATATATATGTATATATTTTTCAAAAGAAAGAAAGAAACAACAGCTTTACGACAAGCAGATCTAGATCATCTGGGCAGAATCTTTGATCCTCAGCTTGCTACCAACACTTGCCAGATTGGCATAGGCATTAATACTGTTACATCATAGCTAGCGATAGGTAGTTCAGGATCGTCCTATTCCCTGATCTGTTTAGCAGTATTCGCCTTCGTTTTGCTAAACAACTTCCACCACATCGGTGCCTTCCTTCGAGGGTTGGGCAGCTGCTTCCTCGTTGCACATACGCGATTCGTTCAGATGCGTCTTCAGATTGTCTTTCTTACTGAAGACGATGCCAATGATCAGTTGGTTAATGTACTCTGACGAAGGCCGAAGCGGGTTAGAGACGGTTATCGTGACCTTCTGATCATCCTCATTTTTCTCCTCCTGAGTTGAAATTATATTCATATCTGCCAGCCGAGTAATTGTTGCTGAGGATTCTTGACTGCCACTACATTCATTCATAAAACTGATTGCATCAACAAGTTCGCTATTCGCAGAGGAAATCGACTGGTCTGCTGGATTATATACTGGGAACGATGAGACTTCACGTTCCGCATTATGTAATAGCTCAATGGTAGCTTCAGAATCATTATGAATCATCGTGAGATGATGGATCCTGCTCTTCCACATATCGTTCCAATGAAGATGAATGACATGCTGATATCTGGCCACCGAATTGCCGAATTTATCATCACACAAAGGACACAAGTACTTCAGACGATCATTGTCAGCAGCATGTTTCTTTGAATGTTCCTTTAGGAGTTGCGCAAACTGGAATTTTCTACCGCACTCCTTGCAAACGTAAGACCCTTCATTCGTGAAACGAGCTTTGTGATTGTTTAGAGCCCTTGCAGAATCAAAAGTCCCCAAACACTTAGGACACATTGTCTTCTCTTTCGGTTTACTATTTAACAATGACTTGAACTTAACAGCTATCTGATCGAGCAATTGTGAGTTTTGATCAGTGGCTGTCAGTGTCTTGATCGCTGCGTTGGGGTGGAAGTGCATCAAATGCATTCGGACGTGCATTAGAATTGTGAATCCTTCGTTACATACGGGACAATGATATTTAGACAGAATGAAGTTCAAATTCGCGTGTCTTAACTTGTGGACCTGTAGGCGATGTAGCTCTGGAAAACGACGGTTGCATACTAGGCACTTGTACGAGCCTTGGTTCGAGTATTCCACAGAATGGTAATTCAATTTTTCCCAGCTTTCAAACTTCGTGTCACAAATAGTACAGGAAAAAGCGTCTGTAACGTCTCCAGAAGCTTCAGTAGTTTGATTAGCGATTGTTTGATTGCTGCTGTCATGTTGAGGAGCGCTGGTCTCCGGATGAAAATGTACTTCGTGAGACTTCATTTCTGTCCTCGTGGGCAACACTTCCTCGCAGTAGGAGCACTTGTAACAATCGGTGAAATTGGAGCAAGTATGGGACGAGCTCTCGTGCTTACTGAGGGCAGCATGTGTCAGACATTTTCTGACACAGAAGGAACAAAGGTAATAGCCGTCATTAATGTACTCTATCTTGTGCTGGCGCATGTCTTTTTCAGTTATAAAACTCATATAGCAAATGTCGCAGTTGTATTTCGGAATCAGTTCATCTAGCGATTCTGCAGTCGCAAACATTCTAACGTAGGTATGATCTTGCAGGTGCTGCGGAATCCCAATTTTCAACTCCAAATGCACATGGAATTTATGCGCATGGTGATGTGACTCCAGAGTGAAAGCCTCATTACATATGTTGCATGCGTATATGTACTGTTTCCTAATGCTTCCCCCATTATGTACAAACTGAATGTGGTTATGTAGCGTGAACAATCCGTATAAAGCCTTATCACAGAACATGCAGGTGAACAATTGACCCTTATAGTAAAACATATTATGTTGGATGAATTCCTCGTTGGACTCGAACACCAAATTGCACACCCTGCATACTTTGGTCACCTCCCAGTCTTCGTTGAACCTTAACCATGGCTTGGGTATGAAGGATGTCTCACCAACATGAAAGTGTGCCGTGTGAATCTCAACACTAGACTTTTTCACAAAACCCTGAGCGCAGATCGTACAGTAATACTTGTAGTTTCGAGCAGTGTCGACCATGTGGGTGAATCTAAAATGGTGGCTCAGTATTGCCGCAGAGCTGAACGCGGTGTTGCAGGTACTGCAAACAAACGAGGCGGCTTTGGAGTAGGTCTGTACGTGCATACTTAACTTTTCAAACATATGGAAGCGCTTCTTGCAAATGGTGCAGGAGTATTTGACCTTGTTCGTACAAGATTTGTCTATGTGGTATCCATTCGCATAAGTGACACTCCTCAACGCCTTTTCTGATTGTTCCATTGACGGTGATTCCGCTCTATAAGAATGATCGTTGGTCGAGCGCAAGTTAGGTTGTGGCGCGTCCAGGTTAATGTTCGCGTTATCCAACGTTCGTTTCGTTGATAATGTTTTCACGGCATTAGACACATTTTGCGACTGCTTCTCTCTGGCCCTCATTTTAGTACACAGTTTTTGGTGTTCCTTCAAACAGGTCTCCAACCAAAATCGCTTGCCACAAGCCTTGCACGAGTTCTTCTTATTCGGCATCCTACACTTGACTGCTTCGTTAATACGTTTCTTGCGTTTAGGTAGCAGTACTCGGGTGCAGTGTAGTATGAAGTGCTGCTTCAACATCGCTAGTGATGAGAACTTCTTAAAGCACACGCAACACTGCATGCGCTTGAAACCGCTGTGTTTGTTCATATAGTGTCTCTGCAATTCAACCTTAGTTTTGTACTTAGAATCGCATATGCTTGATTTAAAGAACTCGTGGCGCAGCTTGAGATGTTTGCGCAAATTTTTCTTTACAGAGAAGCATTTTTTGCAAACTTTACACCGGAACAACATACGCGAATTGGCTTTTGTGTTGTCCCGAAGTACATTGGGCACCTCTGAATTCTGCAACGATTTTTTAACTTCTACCTTTTTAAGTTCGCTCACGTTCAATGAAACATTTACACTCTTTAAATTCGTCTTCTCTCGCCACATTTCTTCAATATCTCCGTCTTCTTCCACCGAGAACTGAGTGATGTCAACAGTTTCTGTTTTAACGAACATGTCGCATCTAATTAAATTAAGTTTGCAGTCTTTGCATTTGAATTTTGCCCTCAGTTTCTCCTCCGTCGACTGATGCTTAAGTTTTTCTTTAGGCGTGCTAGCGACTCGCTTTCTAAATCTAATTCTCTTAGGAGATTTTATCACAGGAGTTGTATTTAAGTCATTTGTCGATCGCTCAAGACTACTTCTTGTCATGCGTCGGATGTTGTAATTTTGTAACGTCAAATGGTTAGGTTCAGTCTCTATTGTAGCTTTTATGTTTTTATTCAACTTCCTCATGTTGGAATCTGTGTGTCTTTTGTCAAATGGTGTGTTTTCCTCTGCAGTGTTGCCATCTGGTGTACAACTTCCATTGGTGATCGACGTTTTCTTATTAGTCGAATTAATAAGTGATCTTACTACTGTTCTGCTTTGTCTAGTTATTTTCTCCTGAGTTTTTAGATGTAGATCAACTTTCTCTGTTGTCGCTCCACTTCGTCTAGTTACAATTTTCCTTCGGCCTTTCCCTTGAAATTCAGATGCCTCCAATATCGTTTTTGTTTGACTAGGTACGACTCTTTTCGGAGTTTCGACACGATGATCAATTTTCTCTGTTAGTGTCCCATTTTGTCTAGGTATCGCTTTTTTCGGAGTTTCTTCTGGAATGTCAACATTTTTTGGAGAAGCGTCTTGTCCTATTTTAGTGTACCCTGAAAGGAACTGAGTTATAGTCGTTTGTCTCATTTTTCTGAGAGTAGAGTAGACTGCATCATTTCCGTTCTGCTGTACTGAAGGACTTGTTACGTGACGATCAGTGTTCTCTTTCATTTCACTGGTTTTATCAATTTCACTAGTTCTGGTTTTATTAGTTTCTCTGATTTTATAATTTACACTAAACTTATCAGTTTCACTAGTTTCATCAGTTTTGTCGAGTTTTTTAATTTTGCTAAGTTTATCAGTTTCACTACGTTTATTAGATTTCTTTGCAGAGCAAGGTAACAATTTACCATGGTTATGGAACACGTGACATTGTAAATTTGATTTCGTTGTGTATTCAGCCTTACAGAAACGACAGCAAAATGATACCTTTGAGGAGCGCAATGTATTGATTTTGCATCTACGCATCCATATACGATCATGTAAAAGATGAGGGGATTTACAAATTGTATGACATTTATTACAAGAAAGGTTGGCCACCTCAGTCTGATTGTCTGTATGAATCCTTAATGTTTTCAACGATTTAAAGTTTAAGAAGCATATGCCACATTCTATTGCTGTTTCGATTGGTTCCGGAGACTTAGGTCTAACGCACGCTTTTTCCTCAGACACTTTCAAATTATCAAATGTTAAAAGTTTACGCTTCCGCGTATTAATAACGCGCGTGTTTGATGTATATGTATCAGCACAGTCTTTGAATAATGCAAGTTCATTCTCTTTATTATTTACTTCATCCAATGATTGCATCCCCGGAACAATTGTTTCAACCGTTGCAGCAGTCTTTGTGTCATTTGTACCTGTCGGTGAAAATGTACTGTCTTGATAATTGTCATCCGTATCACATGGTTCTTGTTTTATCGTCTTTCCAGCTGCAATATGCTGAAAACAAATGTACGAACCTAGTTGAACAACCTAACATACAATTTTCTAAAGATGCGAATGCAAAGGATTAATCTTTTCTAGGAGTGTGCAAAACCGCCCGAGTCTTCGGACCCGAAGTTCGAGACGGATTGCGAAGAGTCGGGCGGGATCCCGATACATTTCACTGTTCGAGATCTTAAGATCCCGAAAGTTTCGGGACTGGGCTCGGATCTTGGGTGGTCTCAGGCTCCACGCATGAATGAGATATGTAAGCGGCAGGAGTGACTTCAAATAACGCTCCCCAATTTAGAAGTATCCCACGCGATCGGTTCGGGATTCAGTTGGCAACTACATTGCGATACATGACTTAAGACGTCCGTCATTGAAAGATCTTCTCTGTGCGCGCTTCTCCACGTTAGGACACGGTGTACGCATTTAAATAATAAATCCGTATTCAAGTGTGTGAATAAAACCTGGCCATAACATTTTTCTTTTCTGCGATCCTATAGCTCTGAGTTAAATCTCAACAGGTTATGTGCCCAGATAATCGCGATTATTAGAAAAGAAAGAAAACACAAGAAAAATTGCCGATCCTGCGAGAATCGAAACCCTCAACAAGGACAACTACGACACGTGTAAACTTCAGATGCGGGCGCTATTAGTAAAAAACGACGCGTGGTGTTACCACAGCGGCGAATTGAAAGCGTCGGGCGGTGAGAGCTGATGATGTCGAATCGGCCGCAGATTTAAGGGCGTGGATCGATCAAAAGGCGAAATCAGATATAGTGCAATCAATTAGCTCGGCGGAACTCAAGCAGATAAAAGAATGCCGCCTCACCTCGAACGATGTTTGGCTAAAACTAGAGAGCATATACATACCAGTCGCGGAGTCCCGCATATAAGACTGCACTGCTGAAACAGCTAACTCTACAGCGCATGAACGAGAACGAAGATATTCGCGCACGCTTCAGAAGATTTTTTGATGCCGTGAACAAGCTGAGCGAAAAGAACGTCGACATTAATTTAGATTTACTCGCCATCCTGTTGCTAAGTCGCGGGATAAATTACCGTCTTCCGATACGCTACGAATTAAAATAATCGAAGAAAGCGATGCTCGTAAAAACAATATACGCGACACAATGCTGAATGCGACAGCCGGCCGACAAACAATTACGAAAAGAAGAATGACAACGAGGAGTAGAGACAATGTCGGAAGTGATACATCAAAGTTAAAATGTTTTCTCGCTGCAAGAAAATAGGTCACAAAACATCTGAGTGCAACAAAAATAGGAAAAATTACCGTCAATTAGGCAGGAGCGCTAGCTGTTGCAAATTGTTATTTGTTGGTATTTGCAGCAACCAGGATCGAATATCGTGGCGAAGAATTGCGAACAGATGAACAGATTACAAGTGACGAACAGTGGTGCTTGGAGAGTGGTTGTATTACTAGACTATTGCTGCAAAGATCTTGACTATTTCGTGAGTGTCTATGAACAGTGGCACGGAAAGTTAAATCTCGCTAACAGTGCCTCAATGAACATAAACGCGAGTGTGGATTACCGAACACAATGGATTAAGAAAAGACGTTATGGTAAACAACGCGCTACTCGTGCCGAATTTGCGTACGAATCTGTTGTCGGTCGGAAAAATTAACGACCACGAGTATGAAGTGATCTTTACGAAAGGTCGGGACGACGGTAATAACGAAGACGGAAAACGTTGAACTAATTGCCGATCGCAAAAACGGACTATTCTACGTGGAGCAGAAGAGGCGCCCGCAGAAAACCATGGCCACCACGACCGAGGACATCGAATCGACGAGATCTTGTGGAAGCGAAACTTAGTGGAATTGTAACTAGCGGGAACATTAAAGACTTTAAGGAAAATGTGCAGTGCGAGGTATGTTCGCGAAATAAAATGACACAACTCGCATAGCGATGTTTGCGGTCCCATGCAAACGGAATCGAACACGGGTACGCGTTCATTGACGACCATTTGAAATGGTGCAAGGTATACATATTTCATTCGATATTCACACAAGGTATTCGAGCCGTTTCGCGATTTCCAGGCATACATAGAAAATCAAACGGGTCGTAAAATTAAAAACCTTCAATCAGATAATTCACGTTTCGATGAATTACACTGTCCGACAAAATCAAACTTTTCTTCTGGGTTCCTATAGCCACTATGAAATTCTTGTAGAGCTTCACTCTCTGAACAAGAATCCGAAAACCGAATTGCTCCATCACCCTCAGTTTTTTAAATAAACGAACTTCTGTAAAAATCCAAAATTTTCGACAAAAATGAGGTATTGCATGAAAAGTAAAAACGTTAGAAAGTTCTAATTGGTGTTAAAAGATAGAGGAGAGTTTCCCGAATATAGTGGCATGCAATTTATTAATTGTTTTTGGTTCTAAATAGCAATGAATTGATGTCAATGTTTAAAAAAGTGTCGACGTGCGCAGTTTCTCCGCAATATTTTTGTATTTTTACGAAAAGTTCTTTGTTCAGCACGAAAACTCTATCCACGATCGGATTCTGTAGACATTTCTGAAGAAGAAACGGCCTGATAGAAGTATCAGAACGATGTACATTTTGAGTAGGTCGAGAAGATATTGTCGGCAACATGTACACGATAATTTGCCGCCATGTGCTTCGCTGCTCGCTTCTCTGTTCGACAGGGCCGAAGCTATAGGTAATCAACACCGATGGAGGGATCCAATGGGGCACCCACTTAGCGTGTGGGGCGTGCCATTTTTTTTAGTACTTCAATGTGCTGTCTTCTTTTACATATTTTTATGGATAATAATCACCAAACTGTGAATCATAAATTAAAAATGGAGAAATAATAAAAGAAAAATAATGAACAAAAAATATTCATTTTATTCTGAATTTGTTCGAATTACAAGTATATCATGTATACAATTATCATTTAAATTATAACGATAATACGCGATCATGAATAAATAATCATTTTCAAAACGTTAAACTTCTTGAAACATATCGTTAAATATATATTTAAATATTTATTTAATTACATGGCGTAGAAGTCAAAATTATACTAGTGCTAGAATACTTTCGCGTTACCAACTCCAAATACTCTGGTGTGATTTTTTTTGTGAAATATATCACAGTTTTTACCGGGCCGTTTCTTCTTCAGAAATGTCTACAGAATCCGATCTTGGGTAGAATTTTCGTGCCGAACAAAAATCTTTTCGTAAAAATACAAAAATATTGCGCAGAAACTGCTCACGTCGACACTTTTTTAAACTTTGACATTAATCTATTGCTATTTAGGACCAAAAACAATTCATAAATTGCATGCCACTATATTCGGGAAACTCTCCTCTATCTTTTAACACCAATTAGAACTTTCTAACGTTTTTACTTTTCATGCAATACCTCATTTTTGTCGAAAATTTTGGATTTTTACAGAAGTTCGTTTATTTAAAAAACTGAGGGTGATGGAGCAATTCGGTTTTCGGATTCTTGTCCAGGGAGTGAAGCTCTATAAGAATTTCATAGTGGCTATAGGAACCCAAAAATCGTGTCGGACAGTGTTATTGGCGAATCGCGAAATAAAAGACTAACGCGTACAATCCGTAACAGAATATGGTAGTGGAAAGGAAAAATCGATCTTTGCTAGATTCGGTGAGATGATTACTCGAACAATCTGGTCTAACCCCTATCATTCTCTAAATGAGAAGTTGTTGACAATCGGAAACTATAAAAACGAACCGGAAGGCTCGAATAATCATATCTTCACTTCCAAAATTGTCCATTTTTATATACAAGCTGAGGGTCAGTTATGGAGAATTTACTGTAGACCTAAACTTTCGGAGCGAACATTCCGGTGAAGTGGGACGCGATAAAACCGGTGCTCGCGACAATAGTGTAATCAAACCCGATGACAGCGCGAGCGAAACGAGGGACGAAAACGAAGATCGCGTTGCCGTACAATTGCGAAAAGGCAAAGATAAGTCCCGAAATGTACGTACCGGTACAAGGGGAATCTCCGAAAAGAATAAGATATGGAAGAAGTCGGTAACGTCGCAGCCGAATAGTCTATTATGACCGAGATTCCCGTGGCACGTGCAATCGCGAATCCCGACGCGTAGGAATGGTACGAAACCATAGCCACCGAGTTGAAATCGATAAATAAGAACGTTACCTGGGATCTAGTGGATCGTCCGGTCGGTACGAGAGTCATCGGAAGTCATGTGGTTTTACGAAATAAGTACATATGTATAAGCCTAACAGGGATCTCGAGCGGCGTAAGGCCCGAATAGTGGTACGCGGTGTGACTTAACGACACGGAATCGATTTTAATAATACTTTCGCTCCGTTCGCCCATCAGACTCATCACTGCTCTCGCGGCTCAACACAATATGAGCACCCATCGGATTGGAGTGACATCCGCGTATTTAAATGGTGGACCGAGGAGAGGAATTTCATGGAGGTCCCGGCCATATCGAGGGAATTATCGATATTGTAATCGAGACCGAAAAACACGACAGCAGGATTAGAGCGAAGGCGATCAAAATGCGCAATAACTTGCGACGCGGCGACGAAATCGGTTTAATGTGCAAGGCTTTTATGCAGTCTCAAACAGGCTAAGCGTACTTGGCATCGTTGACTAGACGACTAGTTCAAAAGATACGGGATGAATACGAGTAGCGCTGAACTGTGTGTATATTACTGGATTGGCAGGAAAGTAATTTCGGTATTTCAATGTGAAATAAAACTCAATTTTTTCTATACAAAAAATGAACTTTAATTAATCAAATATTTTCCATTCTGTTCGATGACTGCCATCTTTCTTGTAACTTCATGATTCCGCGCTCATAAAATTGCTGGTCCTTATCAGTAAAAAACTCAGACAAGTGCGATTTGAGGATATCGTTATTATTGAAACTTTTACCATTTAAAAAATTTTGTAAACTTCGAAATAAATGATAATCCGTTGGTGCAAAGTCGGAGTTGTATGGAGGATGCGACATCACTTCCCAACCAAGCTC